AAGGACCCTGTCGTCATACTCAAAGTTCTTGTCCAACTTCTCGAGGATCTTGCTAAAGGCGTCGCCCTTCTCCACATCTTCGATGGGGAAGTCCTCGAACAACTTCCAGGTCACCCCGGAGAAACTGCCGATGATGTTGAGCACCGACTCACCAGTTCTCTTGCTGATGACCATCTTCTTGTGATACAGGTTCAATCTCTTTCGGTACTCACGGTAGTCCGAGGGCTGGTTCGAAAACAGAGGGACATAGGAGTCGCGCAGGCTGAGCGTGTCACCATCCTTCGCGGCGGTGGAGGCTGATGCCATCGTACCAAATCTTCGACAAAAAGTGGAACCACAGCCAAAGAGCTCAGCCACGGGGAAACAGTAGAGCTCGGCAGTGGGTAGGTGACGATGGGCTTATTCAGAACCCCGTTCGTGAAGTCGCAAAGGATGCGGGAGCCCCAAATCTGGGGCTCCGCTACCAATGTGAAAGCAGCGGGCCCGGCGCACGAAGTCCGGGACGAACGAAACGAGACAGGACGCGTCGCGCCCCACGGCCGTGCCTATTTTCGCAGGCAATGCCCACCCATCTTGAGTGGATCGAGTTGCGGTGCAAGGGAAAACAGCTCGACCGACCATGCTCAACTCAAGTGCTCAGCGTGCACTTTACACAAAACATTTATAGTGGATTGAGACTAGAGGTTATATATTGACCCCCATCTAAAGGACATCATGGGGTCTGTGCTATTCTGAAACCACTGTAGCTGATTCGATCCCAATAGCGTTCCCAGTGGGAGTCTTGCTGGCCTGGAAGATGTTGTTCTGAACCCATCCCGCCGTGTGGAACTCTTGGTTGAATTCCCAGTGGTGGTAGGAATTGGCCAACAACAGTCTCTATAAATTGAAGCAAAAGTTCCAACAGGGGTAACGCCAGGTTCATCACGGCTCGGTGCTCGAGGTGGATCTCTCTCTCTCTCTCCGCTTGTTCATTCCAGCTTTTCCCTGGAGGCCCAAGTCTAGCGCCGCCTTTTTGCTGGGCCTCTTCGAAGAAAAATCAATTCAACAAATGAATCGCTATCACTCTAACTACCAGTATACCATCTGAACTCGCTGTGCCCGTGCTGAAGATCCCCCAGCCCACTATGGAAACATGGGATCTTCAGCTAGAACACCTCGAGTTCGGATGGTCCAGGTATAAATCCATCAGATGTTTTGCTCACCAACGCCACGTTGCTCGTCTCCGCACATCTGCGGACTAGGCGCGGTTCACCTCCTCTCGGCCGTTCGGCACGTTGATGATGGCCTTGGAGCGGGAGCCTTCTGAGCAACTACAAGCGTTTGATGAGCGCTTCTTTTGTCGAGCAAAGAGTGGACTGGTGGTGATTGGAACTAACTTGAGAGGAGGGAGACACGAAAGGTAGGACAGCGGGAAGAGAAGAGAACGCGAGAGGCAGGAACAAAAATGCAATGTTCGACGTGGTGATTTATCCCCTCGAAGGCGACCTTTCGTAAATATATGTTCATATGCACTCTAAATGTTCAAACATATGCTCTCGAAATGTTCAAAAAGGTTCTTAGGAAAACAAACTTGCCCCATGGCTCAGATCATCGGTGAGCATTGAATCGGAACATCATAGGATTTGAACTATCCTGAAACCATAAGAGGCTCACGAAGACGCTCCCCAGGAGAGAATTGACGTGCTTCACAAAACAAACTCTAGGTATGTATCCCCTCGGGGAACACCTTTCGTGATTAGAATTTCATATTCACTCTTTCTAAATAAATGTTCAAGAGGGTTTCAACTATCCTGAAATCATGAGAGGCTCACGAAGACGTTCTCCAGGAGAGAATTGATTTTAGAGGGGGGGAGGGGGGGGGGGTCTGAATTGAGCGATCAATTATTAGACCCGGACGTCCCAACACTTGCTTCGCAAGACAAACTCAAGGTATCCCCTAAAGGGCTACCTTTCGTGACATGTTGGCAACAAACTTTTGATTTGTGCCAGGAGACACAAAGGGGTTGTGTTTAGTCCCTAAGTGAGTGGATAATGGGCACCCTTAACCTCCATTAAGCACCCCTTTTTGTGACTGCTGGTGTATCGATGTGTTTGTTTTCTAACAAGGTGTCTGATGGTGTCTGTAATGCAAGGGATTCCTTTTAGCACCAGCTGCATCTTTAAGCAGACACACAAGACACAACACACACAAAAAACAAAAGCTCCGAATATCATCAGAATCGATTTCTTTGGCGCAATACACACCAATCAAAAATTAACCAAACATTCAATTGGTCCTTACAACCGATTTACTAGAAGGTGCTCCCACAAGATCTCCCCTCAGCCATTTCCTCTCACAAGTTCCGGTACCTTCTCATTTATTCGAATGGGTAATCTGAACATGAGAAACTTGGTATTCGACTGCAAAGCTTGGTCTTTGGCGTCTTGTAAGACAAAACACGGCCTGTCACTATGCATGATGTAGGAAGGACTACCAAGTTCAGATATACAAAATGCAGATAACATGCATGCACATATTATGTAGATTCATACATATTCATACCGTCATTTCCTGGCACACAGTAGCTGGAGTAGATTTTGGTAGCTGAGGATGCACATCGCATGTAGTTTGGGGGGAAGCTCCCGGACTCCCAAATGGTGGCTCTGACGCGTCTGCAGGATGTCTCTAATGCTGGTGCCCAAGTGGCGTATGGTGGTAGGCCTTGCGCTGAAGCTTTGCCTTGCGTAAAGTCCGACCTCACAGGGTCATCGATCAGAAACCTTGAAGTCCTCTGTCAGTCAAGGGGTGTTAGCATGACCTCTAAGATGTGGATCAGACTTTATGGTGGGGGTAAAGGGTTTACATGTCACAGTATATCATTCTCGAACTCCATGTGCGCGTCAATGTGCTTTGTAGGGAAATTCGGCATGTTCAACCAGCTCTTTTTTGCGGATCGGAAAAAACTCGGTGGCAGGACCAGTTTCCACCTGTTCGTTCTTTGGATTTGTCCCCAATTCACTTCACTTCACTGGATTTGTCTCCAATTCCCCAAGTCACGTCACTTCGATCCCCCCCGGTGTCCCCAAGTCACGCGACGCGTCACATCGCGTCACATCGCGTGGACCGTCGGACCGTCACAATTCGGCTTCGGCCGTCCCAGCGACACATCGACCAAACGACCACCGTAGAAGCGCCAGGAAGGGAAGCGGGAGATCTCGGGGTGCATCCGATACTGCTCCTGCAGCATGATGTACTCCTGGCAGGGAGTAGTACGAAAACGTGCTGGAGCTAAAAAATGTGGACCAGACGTGGTTTTGTTTCTTTTTTTGCTGGTCTTTGTTTGGACTACCACTGAGGAAAAAAGCACAAAGATCAGAAGAGTCCCTTCCCCGGAACATGATTCTGATGGCATCAGCCAAATTCATCCACACAAGGACCACCAAAACATCCTCTCGACAGCCGATCGAGGGACCGAGTGGCACATTATTTTGGGCGAGCATGATCAGCAAAACGGCTCTCATTGGCTCAGTACACTTGCATTCTACAGTGGCGAATTGCCCAGACCCTTCCAGGTCTATTCCAGATCAAGTTGGCAGCGCAAAAATGGAGATGGGTTGAGCGTTGAGTTGCTTTCCTTGCAAATGTGTTCAGTCATGTCTATAGAACATGTGAACATGTGTGAATAGTGGCTGCTATTAGCATTGTTGACAAGATGTTCAAACTTTATATCACCCCAAATTCAACAATAGTTAGACCCTGGTATCTCTTGATTGATGCAAAAAAATAGTTCTTCTTGCTCTTCTTATCACCATCAGTGTAGCCTGGTCCTCTTACCCTGCAGACTCCCTGCAGGGATGCCATGCCACCGTCAGCCCGTCTTGCTCAACCCTTGGTCGGCCCAGGTCTTTAGCACTGAGCCGTCCAGTCAACGGATTCCCCGAGCGACTGGCCAAGCTTCACATCGCCCTGAAGAGGAGCGACCGAGGGAAGTCAGAAACGAAAAGAACGCCAAGGAAGCCAGTAGTCTCAAAATGGTTGGTGGTGCTCCTTCCTTCCCTCTCTCTTTTTTTCTTTTCTCTCTCACTCTATATATATTGCTTGACACAAATTGGAGTGAATACATCAACGCAGATTTGCCCTCCAAAAACGGTAGAAATACTGCAGTGTTACAGGGAAAGTCTCTTGAAAACGCAACATCTTCATGACATCTTCTGTGCAAATGGTTTTTGTTCAAACCATTGGCTGGAAATCTTCCCCTCGGGAGCAGTCGAAACTACAACCCAGTGGCCTCTTTTCACCACCAAGTCCTGACGAACTCATGAGGATCCATCTGATAAGTCATGGATAAATTCTGCTTCCAAGCGATCGGTTGCAGTGTCATGAGGGCTGCATCCTTTTTTCCACATGTCAAATACCTAGGAGTCACAAAGTGGTGCCGAACTTGGAGGATAGGAGTGCCCATTATCCACTCACATAGGGGCCAACAATCACCCCTTTGTGACTCCTGGACTATAAGCACTCAAGAGTCTCCTTCAAATTCTTGTCGTTCTTGGCTGTATCACACGCATGTTTCGACATATTTCATTTCTTGTGCAAGGTTTTTCGCTTCCAAGAAGGTTTTTCTTGGGTTCTTCGTTACATTAAAGCTGTCTTTGCTTGCAGTCTCACAGCCATTGTGTCTAGCCTTGGTGCCCACATTCGTTCTTGGGCCTACAACTAGATTCCCCTCCCGCATAGACTGGAAAGCCTGATGTGTGTGTTTGTTTGTAATTATTTGTCGTCGCCCTGGTTGCTGGTGTTGTTGTTGTTGCCGTTGCTTTTTTTTGTTTGTTGTGATATTTTTTTGTTCAACACACTTCAACGCGATATTTGTGTCCAAACGTTATTAATGAGTCATACAGTACAGTAATCATTCATAATCCTTGATCTCCTGCATGTTTTGGGTGATGCTGGACAACATGTGAAAAAACATGCCGTAGCGAACAACGTAGCGAACAACGTCGTGGTGTTTCGTAGTTCAGTCCCATGGGTCCCGAAGCCTTCCTTGACATGTCTCGAATCGATCGAGCTTCGCTGAGCGTCCTCCCGGTTTTGCCGATGTCTTCGGACGGAGCTGTCTTCCCAAAGGTGGTGGGTCAAACGTGGATCCTCAGGCGAGAAACTCTTACTACGCTTCAGCAAGTGTCCAGGTTTTCAATGGACCACTCACTGGAAAACTCCTTCAAGGCGGGCTCAATCAAGTGTAACCTCTCCTCGAAGCGAGTGCGCGCGCAGAATATGCGCGTAGTGTGCTGGCTGGAGCAGGGGTAACCGAAAGAGAGGAACACCACAAGACTATAGAACACTTTAGCCTACGGGTTTTATAGTTCAGAACAGAGGTGGCACTGAGGTTGTTCATGGATATTCGATGATTCCACGTGGACATGGAGGACCTATAATGTCTTCAGTGTCTAAGAGAACCCTGAAACCACTGGCCCTACTGCTGGTCATGGCTAGATTAAAGATGCAACTCTGGCGACATGGAATCTGGAACATCTTCACCACAAGTAAGAACGACCTGAAACGGCAACATATTGAACACATGTGTTTTTCGTTTATTGATTTGCTTTAGTTCACTGATATGCTGTTATTCAGCTATCGTTGTTTATCCATAGCAGGTTTCATAATGCATGTCATCGTCTCGAACATTGGGCCACCAACCCAATACGAACCTCCTGTGTCCCACCAACGGATCGAATCGGTAACATCCTTCAAACCCGTCGGCGAACCTGGGAACCATCCCTGGGAAGCAATCACTTTGGTCCACATTGGCATGGCAAGACCTAATATGGCAATCTCTGTTCTGAGCAATGGCTACGAGTTCCATGTTGGGCTGGTTCTTCCTCCATATGGGTGTGTAGCTTCAAATAGGGAAACTCTGCCAGCTCAACCTGGAAGAAGGACACATCGACAAATATATTTTTTCTTCGGGAGTCATGAAATTGCAAACCTTCCTATCCAGTCAGTCATAGTGAGTCTGAGTAAATGAGCAGGGGAAAGGCTGGATAACCCGTGAACACCTGAAAAGCTGTCCACCTCGACGCAAATGCTGATGGATGATGATGGATGAAGGTCCCAAATCCACTTCTGAGAAAACAAAGGACTGCAGTCTCCACTACAGGATCTGTTCCCCTCATCTTCCCAGCTCTTCCTTTCTTTCCTAATTAGGAAAGTTGTTTCAGATTGTCCCATTTTCTGGCAGGTAAAAAGGAGAATGCACGATTCTCTCAAGGACTTCTGCCAGCATCGATCTGTCATCGGCTCACCAAATCGTACCCACAGCACCTTGAGGTCCTCTCGCGTTGCACGCTTCGCAGCGCTGACATCTGCGTCGCCGGTCATGTTGGCTTTGAGCTGGTAAAGCTCCTTCATGGCCATGCGCAAGTTGCGCATGCCTCGGTGGATCCGCACGGACAAAAGCAAACGGTCAGAGGTGGTTAGCGAGGTTGTGTTCCTTTCACCTCCCAACCATATGGATATATGTCAGGGCTTATTAGAAACTGAAGCTCCCATCAAATTGCCCATTGTTCATGCCTGCCACCTGGCAAACCAAATCCCAGCACCAAACACCCTCCACTCCAACCTAATTATACCAACATACCCTCTCTTCCTGAAACAGCCACCCTCTCTCCGACTCAAAACCAAAAACATCAAAAAACAGATCTCTAAATGCGGATCATCTCCACCAAGCGACTGGGATGGTTCTCCGGATCCCACTTCCGATCTGCTTCCTCCAAGGCCTCCTCCGTCGCCGCGCTTTCCACCGGCGCCGCCTTCTCGCTCTCGCCGAGGCGGCGCACGCCGGTGCCGTGTGGCCGCCGGACGGTGGTGAGGTACGTGAAGGGCTTGAAGCCCGGCAAGCGGAGGCCTTCGAGCGCGGGTCGGAAGATGGGCGAGTGCATGGGAATAGGTGATCAAAGGGTGGGTTGTCTTTTCATGAGAGCCCAAGCATCTAAGCAGGAGATTGTCATGTATATAATATGTATATAGCAAGAAGATGCGAGAAGTTAGGAATCAATAATCGACGCAAAAAGACGGGATCTATAGTGGGATCTATATAGGAGCCCTTGGCAGGTTGTATATTTTCGACAGGGAGGTAGTACATGCCTCAGCCCCTGGTGGGGCCAGGCCATATGCCACACCTGGGTTGGAAAGGGACTGTGGGTGTTGGAGTGGTGGACATGTCTTGCTGCATGAGGTCAGAAACATCTGGAACGAAATAGATGCGAAGACAGATTGAGGTACCAAACGAAGGAATCAAAGCTTGCAGCCGCATGACTGGTCCTGTCTGAGAGTCTGAGGTCTATCTTCCACAAACTATAGGACAAAATGCGAAGGATTGGAGAACCTGAATGAGCCATGCCATGTCTCATGTCGGCGTCTCATGTCTCATGTCAACATCATGTCAGCATCTACCAGGACCTTCAAAGTGAACCATTTGAGATCCCAGAATGAGGTCAAGAATCGTCCCTGAAGAGGTCACACAGTTCGACGTCTCGGGCGGGTTCCGGGTGGGAACAGTACGAACCATCATGTTTGCGCTGCTAGGAGCATCCCTGGTGTAGTAGAACACTTGAGATTTCTGACGACACCAGTCGTTGCAGTCAGTGACCGCCGGATGAACGGGTGGTCGTTTCGGTGGATGAACACCATGCTGGGCGTGGCCAGTCTCCTCTCGCGCCCGCCTTCGTCCTTGATCTGTGCCTCTGCCAGGAGGAGACCTCGCAGGCAGAACGTGGCAAATCGCAGAATGTGGCAGTACCGCGCACACGTCACGTCCCATCAATGCGATATCACGTCCCTTGGTCCAAAAGCACTGCACTCGCCGCAGCATCCGATGCATGTCGTACCCAAGTCTCCCTCGTTTCAGGTGAAGACGCTTCGGCCAGGTTAGCCCTATGGCCTATGGCCTTAAAAAGACCATTGGCAAAAACATGGGAATGACCTGGTTTTGGAGTGGTTGGAATCGTAGGGGAAGGGCTTGTTGGGGGGAAAACACATGTCATCAATGTCCTATGGGCAAACCCATCTCTCCTCCACTTCACATCTTCCACTCTTACTGTATAGCCCCTTTTCCCGCGAAAGGATCGGTAAGTAAGGTTTGATGACCATCTCAAAATAAACGCGACTTTGGCTGGGTCCCTCAAAACCGTCAGTTTTCCAGTCAGAGTGTTCCACGAAAAATGCACTCCACAAATACGCACCCCAGGCAACCGCAGGCTCGCCCGTCCGCGGGTGCCGGGCCTTCGTATGGTCCGACGAAGGTCGCTTGGGGCGTCAAGCCGCCCTTCTTTCGTTCCCGCTCAGAGACCCAGGTGCACTGGATGTCGAAGGCTGAGAGCGGAGAACGCGCGGCAAGGGTGAGGGTTCGGTCAGGGTGAGGGTTCGGTCGGGGTGTGGGTTCGGTCGGATAGGTCGACAGCTTTTGGGTTGTTTGAGGAAGTGCTGCAGTGATGGGTTATGGACGACGTGGATTGATGTGGATGGTTGCTGTGTAATTGCTTCTTGAATGGTGTGTCTTGCTAAAACAAAACGAGTGGTGTAGACGGGTATAGAGTATAGAGGTCTCTCGCAAAACGAGTGCTTTAGACAGGACGAATGGCAAACACTCACTCGAGTCACTAGAAAGGAGGTTTTACCTCGACAAGTGTGTCGCTCCTACCCTTGAAAATGAGGACGTGATCTCTGTCCTAAACCATCGACGAAACTCGAATCCAAACCCTTCCTGTATAGCTATAGCCAGTGAAACAAAGTAAGAGGATAAGTAGCACAGAGTCTGAAAGAAGAAAGACAATTCTCACTAGGGACTTTGATGAACATACTCCCCACTCCAGGCCATGAATCAGTCGACATGGCGGGCTTGCCCTCTCCCCAGGTCACTTCACTGCCACAGTCGGATCCACGCCTTGGCTCCAATGATTGCAAAGCTTCACGAATTCCACCTCCCTGCCTTGCGGACCGTCGGCCGGTCATGGCGTGATAGAATCATCACGCCAAGGCTGTGGGTAGCATAGGTAGCCCTGCGGTGGGTCGCATAGCATACGGTCTTCCCTATACCTATACCATCATCAAGTCAAGTCGGCGTCTGGGATGGTCATACCGCCATGCTGCTGGTAGTCATGCCAGGTATATTCAGGTTAAGGGCATCAAAAATAGTTGCTCATGTGGATCCCCACCAGAACAAACAACATATACATCCAAGATGTCCATCCATCCTGTATATTTGCATGGTTCTGGTGTCAAATCTGATGTACCCAGCCAATTGCCCAGCCTTTTGACCAGTTGGCCGGACAGTCAGGGGGAACTCCCTTCGAACTCGCTGGGCTGGTAGCTGCGCGGTGCGCTGTGTCCGCTGTGTTTGTAGAAAATGCCATGTTGTTGCTTGCAGGAGTTTGGCTGAAGCTCGGCTTCAACACTTTGCCGGGTTGTTTTTGAAGGTGGTATGTTCATCCGATACACCGACACACCGAACAAAGTAGAATCCATGAAGCTAATCTAGAGCGGCTACATCATTTTCTGGCTGGTGTTTTCGCTGAAAACAAAACCCAGTTGCGTCTGTTCGGCCTTTACTAGGCGTTGAGTCTTCAAGTTTCAAAGTTGTGGCTTCATCCTTTCGCAAGTGATCTCTCGCCCCGAGACTCTATTGACGTCACTCGTCTCTTCCAACCCAACCCATCCCACCCCATCCTACTCACCGATATTTTTGGGGTTTCGACTCCTCTGTATCCAGCTTTCTACTACCCAAAAGGTGTTGCAAGCCTCGAACCGTGTTGTACTTCTCCTTGAAGGCAATGACGCGCGGTATCACCTAGGATTTTTCACCGCTCGGCAGAAGGACTCCACGGCACGTTGACCGCAGGCTCAGGCAGCTGCGCAGGCGAAAGCAAACGAACCAAGCAAAAAAACACCCATGATAATAACTTATTTGAGTTTCTTGCTGAATGGTATATTGCAATTAAATGTCAAAACTAATAATCATCATTACAGTGCATTAAGTCCCTCATTTGAACGTGATTTGTCTTTATTAAAGAACATATGTCCAAATCAGGGAAAAATGAATATTGATATTACCAAAAACATGATACATGCTACTTATAAAAATTAAATACTTTTGATGTAATTGGCTTTAATGACACACTCCATGGGACTGGCATATTTATATACCCTGGGGCTCCAAGTACCTCCTCAAAAGGTGTTTGGACCCTCCAAACCCACCCCAAACACCTTCTCAGAAGGTACTTGGAGCCCTAGGGATATACATTTGGGGTGAAAACATGAAACACATGGAAGTGTTCCACTGTCAGGACGTCAAGTGTTTCAGTCCCTTGGATGGGGTTCCAGTCTCAGGAAGTTTCAGTCAAGCCTGTTGGGGAGTGGGGCGCTGGTGCCTGACGCATTGAGCGGTTTTCGATCCTTTGACTGCTGTGTCGGTCATCTAATTACCTTGATTGGTTGGAGGCTACCCTGGTGGTGTTTCCAAACATTGTTGCAAATTGGATGTCTAACATAAAACTATAACCCTGTCTAGAACTTAGTTGTGACATATCTTGAATAGTCGCAAGACTTTTAGCCCGGCTTACAATGAAAGCATGAAGTTCTTGATCCTTCTTTGCTCAACAAAGCCAACTTTGTGTTGCATCCGCTTCATCGAACCAATACATGCCAAAACAACAAAACACAACAAAACCAATAGACATGCCAAATCATGTTGTGTTTTTGTTGGACATGGTTTGGTGTTGGTCATAAAACAACACCAAGCCATTTCCAAACCATCCAAAAACTGACCAACGCCTCGTAGCGTTCACCCAAATTTCCCGCCTTGAACGCCGCAAAACACAAAAACACATGCCCCAGCCGAAACTTCTGGGCATGGGAAACACAACAACAACAACAACAACAACAACAACAACAACAACAACAACAAC